GGGGATGTTTAATGTCAGTGCTTGAAAATACTTGTACTTAAACAACATGGCCATATCAATCGCAAAGTTATGCGGCCTAAAGTATATGCAGTAATTACAAAAAGCAACATGTGGAAATTACGTAATTTACCTTTTAAAGTTGGTGTACGTAACTTTTTGCTTACCAAATTACATATATTGTGGTGTTTGTCCCAACATAAAGAGTCCAGTAAAAGTAAATTATGAACAAAACCCACAACATTTTATTTATTGGAGACTCTAATAGAAAGAAAAAGCCCCTTCAGTCACTTTTTGATGGGTTGGGCTGATCCATTGATAGAACTAAACAGTTTTGAAAGTGAGGAACTAGTTTGATTGATAATACTTGGTTCCCTTGTATACAAGGTTTGAAAGTCAGGTCCCCCAGCTTCTTCCTACTTTTTCTTCTTACTTTAATTAAAATGTGATCAAAAGTAGCGGGACACTATCTTCATTGTTAGGGTATCGATCAAGATGCCGCATCTGTTGGCAGGCCCACAATGCACAGTCAGAATACCTTCAACGGCAAATGCATGTGATTCAAACAGTATGAATTAGTGAGGAGCTGGCTCTGTTCTGGCCCGCTCAGCATTTTATTCACTAATCTTTTATTCAGATAAATGCTACAGCTCCTGCAGTAGGCTGTGCAACTGTGGAAAGATGAAAACGCTGATGGATTGGCTTGAGAGAGGCAGCCAAACCCAACCTGGCAACCACTCAATCCCCTCATAGCCCTGTATTCTGAAACCACCTCGTCCAATAAAAAATAGATTCCAATAAATGAGATATTATTCAATTAGCCAACATTAAAAGGGCCAAGTGAAACATTACCAAGACATAAATTGTGGACCAAAGGATTCATGATTCCAACTTTGAAGTGTTCCTCTTCCGTTTGCTCCGGGGAATTATGGAAATGCGATAGAGTGATAACATTCTCAGAAAAGTGGCTGATTGGGAATTGGTGAAGGACAATGAACTTCCACTGATGAAATTATTATCAACACATTTTCTTTTGAATGTGTTTTGTAGTGTAGCACTTGACCTCCAAAGAAAACTTTAGACAAAGGCATAATGTAATGTTGTGGGTATGACTGAGAGGTTTTTTGAGTGAGTGATTTTTGGACTGACACAGAGATACTGTACATGGGTGACAAAGCAGTCAAAATGAGGAAAGACGTGCAATAAAGCTCACTCAGGCAGAGAAAATCCCGAAGTTATTTCAAAATGACTTGTGTTCATGCAAAGTCGAATTTAAGGTTAAGGTACACTTTACTTATCACCGTAGGCAATGGGTGGTCGGACAGCGCCCGGGGGAACCACTTCCAGATGTTGGTGCACGACTTGTTCAGGACTACATATTCTACATGTTTGTAGTGATAGGAGCACCTGTAAGAACCCGACACAAACACAAAGAGAAGATTGTCACTCAGAAAGACCCTGTCTGGAGGTGCTACTGTGTCGCCCATTTAAAGGACAACTCACCCTCAAATCCACTTTTTTTGCTGATAAACGGTGGAAATGAGGGTCTAATAGTGTCGTGTACATATCCTGGTCATAATGTTGTCACTTTAGTGCAAATTAGTTGAAAGATCAACTTTCTGCCTAAAACCGTCATTGAGGCGCCATCTGCAGGCGACCTGTAATAACTACATTTGAATTTTGAATCTGGTGCTAACATTGGCGCCGCCGCGAAGATGAAGTCTGCAGTGAAGGCTGAAGTCTGCAGTGAAGGCTGAAGTCTGCAGTGAAGGCTGACGCCCAGAACGGCCCAGTCTCGTTCACGCCCCCCTAGCGAAGGAAGGAAGCAATAGCAGAGAGTATTTTCATAGATTGTCAGGTTTGCGATAAGTTTTAGCATTTAGGTAAGTTTTTATTAGCATAGCTGTTTGTATTATTGATAATTGTGTAGTGTTAATAGCGTTGTTGTTGAATATTGTAGTTTTAGTCACTATAGCTTTTATTGTCAACTGTCAATCACAGCCTAGACCCGCCCAACATTCACCCCCCCGCCTGTCCCCTTTAGTCCTCCAGGCCACGCCCATTTGGAGGAAGATTTGAACAGGAAATGTGAGTGATGCAAACCTCGAGGAGCAGGGGTGAGAAGTTCTTTAAAACATATATCAATGGTGTTTTAGATTTAAACAAACTAGTATAGTAAGGTATAGTGCGAAATGAATAATTAAAAGTCAATTAAAGTGATATCAATTTTGGGATTATTTTTTAAACTTAAACTTTATTACTTTCTGCAACTTCGACTATTAATATTAGACTTGTTTTTATACCAGTAATATTGGGATTTTTTCTGCATGTTTTATTTTCTTTACTGCCATCTCCTGTAAAGCACTTTGGAATTGTATTTTCATGTCCTTGTTGAATTCCTTGTCAATCTCTCGAGTCTCAGATATAAATCCTGGTACAAACTCTCGCATTGAGACGTGCAGTAAGAAAGAAACGATGATTAAAGACATATATTACACAGCCTGGTTATGGCTTCATGATGCATTTCTAATAGGAAGCCATAATTGACTGGCAAAACAATGAATGCAAATTAAAACATGAGAAATGATCCTATCACAAGACCAGTGAGCATAGAGTTTATGTTCACTGATCATATGATAGAGTGATTTACTCCAATCTCATAAATAATTCCATAGAGAGAGGACAAATAAATTCAATGTCACATTTTACTAACTGTGTTCTTATGACATCTGACTGTAGAGCTTGATGATCTATTCTTGAATCTTTGTGAAATGTTTCTGTCTACGATCTTTTGATTTAATCTGAATTATGTAAAGTGGAGGGCTATTTGAGGGGTATAACTTAAGATTTTGCAAAGTGTGCGATGTTATAAGCCTTGAACGAATGAGAGATTAATCCACCTCAGTCTTTATGGAAGACATTCAAGTGACTATAGTTTTTACAGCACATATCAGAAGATTTTAGATTGCTTTGGGTCATTATCAACAATTTCAAATATGTGCAATCTTGTTTATTGTGAATGGTCAGGTTTAGATTCAGTCATTTTTTCTGAACCTTTTCTTGTATACTATGTTTGAAAAAGGAGTTTAAATATTAAAAAACAATTAAACAGAAAACTGAAAAAATAAACTATACCTTTCAAAAGATATGTCAGGATAGGAGTTCAGTGGAATCGTCCAAAATCATCCCCAATAAAGTACATAATAAAAAAAGGTTCATTCATACAGCATGTTTTATCGGGACAGTAGTGATTTTTCTTTTCAATGAATGGCAACTATTTCATGTAATCAATTATTTGATAACTGCTCCGAGTATAAACATGTACAGTATGTGGTGTGGGATTGAATTTGACTGGGAGTAGAAACAACATACAACACAATTCAGGAAATGCGTAAATGTCTTGTTTTTCCATGATAAAACAGTGTTTTCTGGGAAAAAATATAATTATCAGTCTACTAGTGGCTTCATTTCAGTTATGACAAAATATGACTTTTGAATTCTCAAAAACTAATAGATAATTTGACAGAATAAATGTTACATTTATCAGTTAACCAAACATGTTATACAAAAATGCAGTGTGCTGGATAGATCTGCAAAAGACATTTAACTAATATGAGGATGATTGAATGATTGATTTAACTCATACAAACAAATCCAAAGGTCTCAGAATGGAATGTCCACATATGCAAGTTTTTAGAATCTTCTTGAATGCGGTGCAGTGTTTAAGCACATTTGATGTCTTTAGGCAGATCTCTCCATTTACAAGGAGTATAATGGGAGAAAGATGTTTCTCCTATTTTTAAATTTACCTGCAAAAAACTCTGAAGTTCTGAGACTGACTCGTTGTCTCTGGGACCGGTCGGGGTGAGGTGCTGAGCCCGCTGCGGCGTATCATTCAAATGTGATGCGAATTGGATGAATTATTATTTTTATGAAACATTATGATTTATCATAATATACATGGGGTGGGAGTTTATAAGTTTTTTCTTCTTCCCACTCCATTTTCGAGCTCTTGGAGTGTGCTTATGAACAACAAGGCCTATGTGAATATGTAATAGGTGGTTTTATGTTTTATTTTTTTATTTTTCTTCAGGGCACAGGAGCATTAGTGAATCATGTTCTGTTCTTGTGCAATGTTGTGGGATGCTTGTTGTGTAAACAAATGTGTAATGTTATGGGCTCGAAAGAAATAAACAAATGAAATGAAAAATGAAATGAAAGTTACAGTGAAACTTTGTTCTGGCAAAGACAGTGACATCTCCATGGAGACCGTCATGACACCACCTCATACATAGTGGTGTAAGTTGTTGGGCACTGAATTGAATGAGACGAGAAACAATAGTGTTTCAAAGTCGACTGGTAATAGAAATGCATTACATTGTCAATGCAGTGTTTTGACCAGGCAAGCTGTTTTTAAATGGGATTTGGAAAACAATCGCAGCCAACGACTCCCGGGAGGTCAGTGAATATTCTGAGAAAAATAATTTGTGACTGCACTGAATACATCAATGTTTTCACAGAACTGTTGCAGAGCAAAAAGTGACAAATAATATTCAAGAGACACTTTGTTCTCCTGAACTACTAGGTTGAAAAGACACTATACTTTAGACTGGAATCTTAACAAAACTTCAGCGTCTATTCAAATGTCTTTAGCTGCTATCATGTCTTTGAATCAGAGTATGTTTGGTGTTCAAAGATATACCTTGAAAGCCTGTTGCTTAGGCATGCCTCTCCACAGATGTGACCTGTGAATTGGCTTTCACCTATACTTTGAGAAAGATTAAATAAATGCCCTGCAACCCCCAACCTCCCCCACCCCACCTCAACAGCCCTTCTCGTTCGGTGAAATGTAAAGCATGTACAGAGCGTACACAGACTATGACACGTCACTCTCCGGGTTAAAGTGATAGGCTTTGCAGAGGTGGTCCCACAGTCAGAGTCATGCTCCCTGAACCCTGGTTTACTGGTTTACCATTTTATCTTTTGTATTTGTGTGTCTCCAGACGCTGCAGATGGGGATAAAGCACTTTTCAGGCCTGTTTGTGATGCTCTGTGTGGGCGTGGCCTTATCCCTCATAACCACTCTAGCGGAGCACATCGTCTTCAAACTTGTCATCCCTCGAGTCAAAGAGCCGCGCTACAAGTACTGGCTCCACACCAGTCAGGTACAGGCAAAACACACAGGATAAATAAGAAAATGTATTTGTATAGCACATTTCATACATAGCCTTTTGTAACCGAGTGGTTTGCTACATAGCAACTGATGTAGCGTACAGCTTTGGCTCAGCATTTATCACTAGAAGAGTCGGTCAAACTAGTATGCGCTTGGGTTTTGTTGATCTAATGTTGATTTGCACAAGCACTGGGGAGACGCACACAGAAACACAGACAGATGGTCCTTGCATTATAGATAGATACGCTTCACCTATAGGCAGGTTTATTTTCTTGTTCTGACGACAAATAAAAAAGTATTTTTCTTGTTTTCTTTGATAGAGATTACACCGAGCTCTGAACTCTTTCACAGAGGATAAACTACCAACAGTTGCCAAACCAGAGAAAAGGTATGTCCTACTTTCAATATCCTCCAACTCATGAGAAAGAAATAATTATTCTCAGCACAGCTTTAACCGAACGCACTTAATTATTTATCCCATATTAGAGTATTCAGTTCCACATGGGATTTAGTCTTATTAACCTTTAAGAAGTTCTATAATGGCATGCATACCCAACAGTTTCTCAGTGTATGAATATGTATGACCAGGAAACAGCTGTATAAACACTGCTTTGCATTTGAGACTGTTTTAAACATTTATGAGAACAAAAGAACTATATGTTTGAATCACTGAACGTCGACAAGGTTGTGGTCAATATCCTCTCGTATCACAAGCAAAATAGAGATTATGTAACAGAGATGAGATTCTACTATAACTTTAACTTTAAAAGGGATATGTCTATTCCTTATATGTCAACTACGGATGGTAGATCAGATCTAAACAGCAGAAGTCTGAGCCACTGGCACAGAGAATAAATTCTGTTGCTTATATTTTTTTCCCATATGTGCAACAATTAGGCTACATGGAGCAGGTGTCACAAAGCAGAACGGAGCACATTTACTTTTTACAGGATGACAGAGGAAGCCATGTGCACATCGGCCCGCACAGAGCTGCTCTACAGAGTTTTATTTGTGCCAAAGGAGCTACTTATAAAACCTGCAAAGTGTTTAACAGGCGAGCCAAATAGGAGTGAGCTATATTTATCAGAGAGCAATGAAGGCGCAAAGGTGACGACAAAGAGAGAGGACTGCTTAATGAGATTAGCCTGGCCTCAGCCATCCGTACACTTCGGTCAATCATCATTTCACTGCATGTAACTTCTGGGTCTGGTCCCTGTGTTTGCGAATACATCGGTAGAATTCCATACGACCAATCAGAGAGCGCGGGAGGCGGTTGTTGTAGTTAGATGTGGATGACGTTAAGAGTTTGCGCGGAGCGGGCTGGTTGTAGTTTGGCAATGGCAAAGAATGTGATAGTAAAATAATCCGGTCTGGTTCTATCAAGAAATTGAAGCCGGAGCTAGAGGAGTGTTTAGCAAATGTAATCGCTGGGAAAGATTGTGGCGCTACTCCCCACGGGCTCCGTTAGAGGCAAGGAAGATGGATAGGCTAAATGCTAAATGCTAACGACTCACTCGGGCTTATTACATACGTGATGGTAAACTCAAATCCGTCAATCTGCAAATGGAGTTAACCCCTCCCACCTGTTAATGGAGCTCAATGGAGCACCTCCAGACCTTAGTACGGAATGTAATTTGTACTAAGGTATGGTACGACCAGGCTACAATGAGATGGTCTTTTGTTTATGTTTGTTGTGGTGTTTTAGTCTACAGCTACTTACAATACAGCAAATACGGTAGAGGTCCACGGAAATGTACACGGCAACGTTAGACAAGTTTAAACTAACACCTGCAGATGGTCAGTTTGGACTCATATTCTGTGATCCATGACGAGCAAAACTGTCTCAAGATGACAAAAAATAGTCTCATTTTTTAAATACTTTCCATAACAAATGAAATAAATGCATTTCTATCAATAAATCCAGAGAATTGCATATGTTTTAATCTTACTAATGAACTAAAACATGTTTATAAATAGATTTTTCTATGTTCTATTTTTCATTGTTTCTTTTTTAACTCATCAACCTGAATCATGTTGTTGATAATTGTTGTCAGGTTAGAGTTTTAGGCAAAAATGGAGCTTTAAAGGAAATGACATCTTGACCTTATTCACTTGAAATCACCGCAATAGAAATGATATTGTTTTTGCTGTTTCTGCTCGAGCCAGATGAACAAGTCACATTATTTATTTGTCTCCATGAAGAATTGATGATTGACTCAACTCTAACCCTTTCAATATTAATAGAGTTTGAAGTTTGTCAACTCGTGAAAGCAGTTCAAAAGACCAAAACATGTTTTAGAGTCAAGTTGTCAGTGTTGCCTGATAACTTGGCACCAAGAAAGTGACACCAATTAACTTCAAGTGTGTGTTGAGGAAGCTTAGCAGGAACTAAATAGAACGGTCTGTGTGCAGGAAGCATATTATCTGTGGATGAAAATGGAAGAGCTTATCGCCGCCAACGTCATCCGCGCATTGTTTGGCTCAGCGAGAGGCCAGAGTCAATCAAGGCGCCTTATTTTTGTTCCACAGCACCCTCACACACTTCTTGTAAGAACTTTGAACAAATGAGTATCAGGCGCTTTCACAAAACTCCAGAAACCATGCAGACATTGAGATTTTGGGTTTTATTGAGGAAATCAATCTGGTGATGTGTGACGTGGAAGGTTTAGTTGGAACATACAGCTGTGATAAGGGTCCCTTGAGTCAATAATCACATTTCAATTGGTGGCGCCACCTGCATGTGGAAGCTAACCATGGCTGTACTGCGGTGGGAGACCTTTTGGAAAACCAGGTGTCACTTTGGAACCAGTCATATACACCAGGCTCACCTGGTGTATATGACTGGTGGTTGTCAAAGGGGCTGATGGCACAACCTTGTTGCCTTGTTTGTGTCAGTATGGCCCAGGTCATGTGTGAAGCACCTTTAAGTGTCCACAAAAGTGCTATATAAGACAAATTATATATTATAAAGATCTATAAGAAATGCATACAGTTGGAGAATTTTTAGACTCAAATATTGATGTAGGATTCTCTTTTACGAGTTCACGCTCTTCTTTAGGCGCTTGACAATTCATACACAAGGCCATTAAAAGTGCTGAACAAAATAAAATCATAAATAATCACAGAACATTAAAAAGAAAGATAAAAATATAAAAACCCTCAGTTGTATGCACAACTAAACAGAACTGTTTTTAACCTGGTTTTAAACATTGTCAGAGAGGAGGCCTGTCTCACATCTTCAGGAAGATTGTTCCAGATTTTAGCAGCATGAATCTGAAAAGCAGCCTCCCCATGTTTAGTTCTGACTCTGGGCACTAACAGGAGTCCAGTCCCTGTGCTCCTCAGAGTCCGGGCTGGTTCATATGGGACTAACATGTCACTAATATATTTTGGTGCGAGGCCATGGAGAGACTTGTACACTTTGAACTGTGCTTAAAACTTACTTTTACAATTTGAAGCAACACCATGTCACTTTCTGGAAATAGTACCTGTAGGATTCAATGGAAACAGAAACTCGCTTACAAAAAATACGTTTTAGCCAAAGACCATTATGGAAAGGCTGCTAGATGCAAGTCTATTTTCTTACATTAAAGTTACACCCTGGGACTTAATCATTTATATATTGCAATATTTCAGCAAATCTTCACAATAAAAAAACAATCAGTGCCGGTTTTGATGTTTTTTTGCCTTTATCCTAGCTCACCACCGGGTCAGAGTGAGGCAGCGATGTGGCTTTGGAAGAGCTCTGTAATCTGATCCGTCTGAAATGGGCACCACGGCACCGTCAAAGTGCTGAAATTGTGGCTACTGTTGAATGCATTTAAAGTGAGGTTAGATCTGAGGAACACTTGAACAGAAAGTGCCGACTGTGTCAGCGTCCTCTGTAGTGGTTATGCCTGTGCTTCTCTGGAGGGGACACTCAGGGGAAGCACTAAACACACAGTGTAATCATACGAGAGGAGTTCCTTTGGAAATGAGAATCAATGAGCTACTCATGTATAAATTATCTTTTGTTAGACATCCACTCTTATAAAGGGAACCGCACTGAGCTCCGTGTGCAGGTTATGGAGTGGATTTAGTATTAGACATACAGTATAAGAACGTGCTGATCCAAAGAAAATGGACCCAAACTGGAACTCTTGCTAACATTCATTCAGTATTGATCCAGAGTCTATTGTTTAGGGGTGTGCTGAAATCCATATTTTAGATAAATAACAATATTTCAAATGTATATAAATATGTTCTATATTTTGACATCAAATGCAATGAATCTTTGGTCAATGTAATATAAATGCATCACCAGTTAAGTATTTCTTTGGAGACCAGACTATGGCCCAGTTTCATTGTTCAGATTGTCTGTGGAGTCTTGGTTAGTTACCCAATCTTATTATAGAATATTTGTGTGTGTGTGTGTGATGAGAAAGTGTGTTGAAGTGCTTTTCCCTTTATTCATGTTTAATATTGTGCAGTTTTGGGTCTGCTTTCTGATTAGATTTATAGTGACGTTCAAATGCATTTCATATTTGAAAGTGCTTCAACTTTTCATTGGAGTCAAACCAATGATAAAAGTCCTTGTTGTCAATCAGCTGGGTCTGTGTTCAGTCCACTCAGAGGTGAAGCAGAGTTATTTGTGAACAGAAACTCACTTTATCACTAATTGACAAAAAAATATGCACAAAGATAAATCATACTTCAACTCCTACATTATTGTGGTGTGGACTAAGAGAAGGTCCACTGAACTATCTTAAAATGCATATTTTGGAAGTTCCTAAATGCACACATTAAAGCTGGGGTGTACAAGTTTTAAACCACAAAAAACAGTTATAAAATTCATATAGCAACGCTAAAACAGTCACTAGATTCTATGTATTTATTGTTTTCCTCTGGCTCTTCTGTACCCTGGGCGACAGTAGCTCAGTTGGTATAGCACTGGTCTTTAGACCTAGTGCTCGTGGGTTTGATCCCACCACAACCCATGTAATCTGCTCCCACTGATGTCTGCTGTTGTTGTGTCCCTGGGCAAGACACTTAACCCTACATTACCTGGAGCCCCCCGCTGAAAGACCAAGGCTTCAATGATGGAGAAGCCATCTTCCCATGACCCAGAAATGGATTAATAAAAGGGAAGACAATGACATCACATCTTTAACTTGTCAGGCAGACACTCAACCAATTTTATCTCATCCCAAAGAGGCAAAGAGTGAGGTCCTACTTTAAATGTTTTATGATAAGATGACGACAGCCTAATGGAAGGTACAGTACAATCATGAGCTACCCCATACACAAGAAATTTCGTCTCACTTTTTCTTGTACCCCCTCCCTTCATACTGTTGATTATTTTCCAAATTGGTCTAAATGTAAAAAAAAACCTTTTTTACTTTGAAATAATTTTTTAAATTCTCTTTTGAAAAAAACATTTTCAAAGATAATTTAAAAAGAAACAAGACAAAACTTACAACGTCCATGGCGGCGCATGAACATGCTGCGGCTTCTCTCTCTCTTGACAAGTTGACGTTTCTACCCTTTTCTACCCTTTTCTGCAAACTGCATTTGCAGTTTTTGTGATCCGCATTGTTTTGCAAGATGTTGTTGTACATCTTTGCCATGTTTTTGTGGAGTTCAGCGGATTTTTTACTGCCAAAGCTATTTGCTAGCAATGAACAGAGGATGTGTTTTTAAAAGTAAACACACAGTTAGCATCTGAGCTAAAGGCTTTTTGAGCAGTATTTAAGACCTACAAATCCAGAGATATCATCTTCTGAAGCGCTGACAGGTCACCGAGGGCCCCACGCATCTGCAGCACAGTGGAGGCGTCACAAGAGGCGCTACAGGAGTCCCGGCCTCCGTTGTGTGCAACTTCTACAGAGGGACTGTAGAGAGCATCCTGACCAGCTCCATCACTGGGTGGCACGGCACCAGCACTGCCTCCTGCCGAAGGAGCCTCCAGGCATCGTGAGAGCAGCAGAGAAGATCTGTGGAGCCCCTCTCCCCACCATTAAGGACATGTACTCCACCCGTCTCACCCGCAAAGCCGTCAGAATCACCAGGGACCCTACGCACCCATCACACAGGCTCTTCAGGGTAATGCCTTCAGGGAGGAGACTGCAGAATTTACGGAACAGTTCCAGTCGACTTAAAAACAGTTTCATTCACAAGGCCATCAGGAAGCTGAACTCCCTGCCCTCCCTCCCACCCCTCTTCCCCCACCCCCGCTCCACAATCAAGGATGAGAGAAATATAATTTCAAACCATTCACTTGGTTTGACAAATAAAAATCTTGAAATTGAACTGTAGCTATTTAGGTGTAAATGGGGCCCATGCTTGTGAATGTCCCGAGCTGATGACTGATCATAAACACTGGCTTGCATAGATTAATTATGGCTGTTGTGTCTGTGTTTCAGTTGCGCAACTTCTATAAATAATGTGGTAATTATTATAAAGCTCAGAAAAAATTCCCATGATTGATTATAGCCAAACAACATTCTAGCACTTGCTCATTCACTTAGTCCTATTTACACATTGCCTTGCCAAAAATGCATCCACAAATCAGACGTTTCCAGCTTCACACCCACTCCCAATGGAGCTGTTTATCTCACTTCAATTTTGTGTGTTTTCATTGATCCAACATAAGGTCACAGCAACTTCTTCATGACCTCTGCTCTGCATTTGATACCGCATCAGTCCATCTTAATTGGCTATTAGGGAGAGATTTGGAGATTTTTACAGATGTTGCCACTAATTGACTCATGTTTAATTGGTGAATCTCAGACGGACTGCCCTGTCTCAGCCTCTTGGCAGCGGTTCAGTCCTTGTTAGCTTGGTTAAAATAGAATAGTATAGCATTTTAGGTATAGGACCGGAGATCAGGTTATGCAAAAGCTGAGAGGACTTGCCAGAACAGTATGAGAGGAGTAGTGTTGATAAGATGTCCTATAGTACCAACACCAGTCTGGATTCCAATCATAATAATAATACATGTGATATTAAAATCAATGGGCTGCTTCTGTTGTACTTGCTTTTGTAATAACCATGTTTGCGGTAAAGAAACAGATTTGCTAAATGAGGTCCTTAATCCTAGGGGTGACAGTAGCTCAGTTGGTAGAGCGTTGGTCTTTGTGGGTTCGATTCCCCCACGACCTATGTCACCTGCTCCCACTGATGTGTGCTGTCATTGTGTCCCTGGGCAAGACACTTAACCCCACTTTGCCTGAAGTCCCTGCTGAAAGACCAAGGCCGAATCTGCATAGAAGAAACAGCCATCATCCTGTGGACCCACCACCTGCAGGAGGATCAGTGAGGGACTGGTGCATTGTGTATTGGGTGGCAGCTCTGATTGCCACCCCCCTGACCCAGAAATGGTAATAAAGGGATGAAATGAGATGATTTTAGTAGTCCTCTCTTTGTTATCACGTTACAGGGCTACTTTACTGTTTCATATCAAATGTATTAAAAAAATGGCTGGCCTCTAAATTTGTGTATTGCTCATATATTTGGATTTTCAAAAAACTCATCTGTTTTCGCAAATGAACTTTCCAAATACACACTGAAATTAGTGTTGTATGTTGTCCATTAATATGTTGCATAGTTGTGTATCCATATCTTTATATGTACAGCATTTATATGTACTTTTTCCCTCAAAAATGGACTTACCGCAATAAATGTCCGGCTTAAAAAAAACTTACCGGACAGTTCAAGTAAAAACACATTATGGATTATTGTTATCCATATTCCAGGCATCTATTCTGGGCACGTCTCCACTTACGCCTGAAGCAACCTACATGATTGGAGTGGAAAGCACAAAAATATGAGGATGAAAAGCACAGTGGAATGGATATCAATAAAGTTATTCAACCCTAAGTAATTGAGGATATGCAGCGTTAATTTGCTTAGCATTTCCCAAGACAGAAAGCTTTTAGAAAAGGGTTTTGGAGTGGAAAGCATCATACACTCATAAATAAAAGCAATAAGAGGGCACTGAATGGAAGAGCAAAGATCATGATAAGGATAAGGATAGATAAAAGCCCCGATCTTTTGATATTTTTCTGCGCAGGATGAGATACACATTTTAGTAACAGGAGGAGATGTGTGCATGAGTCCTTCAGTTGGATTAGACTTAAAGCTGTGGTACCTAACGTGAAGTATTTGCTGGATTCTGTCACATCTTTGGATCAGATTTATAAGACTGATAAGAGAAAGAGAGAGAACCACCCTCAGTTAACCAAATCAGCTCTCAGCCCAAAGCATCAAACAGTCACTCAGTTAATTATCATACAAGATATAATTTATTTGATTTACACGTTTTCTTAAAAGATAAAAACTGTTGCGGTCTGGTTTGACATTTCTATCATTTTTTCTTGGGGCAGACTAAATGTATTACACATTGATTTTCAAAAGTCAGACTTCCCCTCTTACAGATCAATAGCTTCATACGCTCAGTTGCGTGATCCTTCCACCCCCACACACATTTTTTGTCGCTATAACTCATATTGCAGTACTAACAATATACCAAAATCATTCAACTGTTTTTCAAAAAATAAGTTTTGGAAACATTTAAAATGTTATTATTTTTCATACTCAACCATTGTAGACGATTTAAATAATTTGTTTTTGTTGTTTCAAATAATTCTGTGCAGACTGTTATAATACTGATACATATATATATAATATATAATGCATATCTCATTAACCAATATTGATTTGTAAAACACAGTTCATACCAAATGCAACATCAGGTGCTTCACATTGACAATATTTCAAACCAGCAAAAAGCTATTAAAAAAACAAAAAACAGTTTAACCCTTTAATGTTCATTCCTTGAAAACACCAATGTATATTATTGTATTTTTATTTTCTAATTTAACCACTAAATCAAATTTTTGAGATGCAGTTCAATGGGTGCCTAGAGTCAAGTAATAGAGATGCCCCAAAGAAGTAGATTTCAGTTCCGAGCAAGCTTCAAGGAGATATGGTGACTCAAAAAGTGATCCACCAAATGGTTGAGGAAACCATTAAAGGGTTGAAGCCATGGAGAGACTTGTACACAAGCAGAGCTGCTTTAAAGTATATTCTCTGAGCCACAGGAAGTCAGTGCAGAGACCTGAGAACTGGACTAATGTGGTCGTGCTCCTGGTTCTTGTCAGGTTCTTTAAATATACTGGAGCTGTTTTTCAGCAGTGAGCAAACCAAGACTCTCCAAGTCAATTTCGACACTATGCCTTAAATTCTAGCAATATCCTTTAAACAGTAGAAATCTGTTGATTTATACACTTCTGGAAATCTCCATAACGGTCAGTGAATGTTAGAAAAGAATTGAGTCCTTGAACTTTCATATTTGGTAGAGTTGCTCCTGTCAAGTACCATCCAGTTATATGACCCCCACAACACATTTTCACTTTTTGCAGGTGCAACGAGGGGAACAACCAATCCGCATGCTGGAACGCCACGGAGTCATCCCACTGCAACAGACGCAGAGTGGTCCCAGAGCTTCAGAACGACCTGGAGCGGCCCCCCTCTATGGACCTGTCCGCCTCCCCCTCCTCACCTCACCCACACTCCATCCCCTTACTGGAGAAGCACCTGCCCATAGTCACCACCTCCAACGGCCGCTCTGAACTTCTAGGCCGCCTCACAGCCGGGCAAGGGGGCACGTTTCCAGGTATCACCCCAGCGCACTGTCGGGGCATTGTGGAGTGCGGGGTGGGCAGAAATCCCCTGGTTCAAGAGCTGTCAGAATTGGAGAGTCAAATTCACCTGATAAAGCAGCAGCTGCAGTCCGCTATGAGGAGAAAAAGGGAGTTAGAACAATACCAAGCAGAACAGCAGACTCCTTCTACTCAGCCGACCACAAACCAAGCAAACCAGTTTTCCCCGTACACCCAGTCTCACCAGCAGACTAATCAACACACAAACACACTACCAGAGTTTTGATGGTCATGTTTTCCCAGTAAAACCTGGTTGAACTTTTGAAACCTTTTTGGAAAGCTCCTTCCTTTAAATTCCATGACTGAGCGTCTGGACCGGGAAGCATTCACAGGGGGCAGGACCCTCCGTTGGATTGAGGTGGTGCGGTAGATCACAGGGATCTCACATCTCGACATTCCAGAGAGACTTTTTCCCAAATCTGGACTGAGATCCGCAAAAACACAGAACCAAAATGTGTTCAAATGTTTCTCAAGCTTAATGCTTTCACGGAATAGCTGTGCAAACTCCCAGTATCTTCTCCTTTTTTCCCATCTTCCCCCTCCTTCTTTCTCCACTTTTCATCCATCCAATCTTCCCTCAAAGGTACGGATTTGCTTGCCTTGAAGATAAGCGCAACCATAGATACGAGGGCTCGCCGGTGTGATCGCCTAATGGGCTGAATCACCTCTGTCTAATGTAAATGGCCCTAAGCTGAACCCAGCTAGTTACATGGTTATGTCCCTAGAGTCTTGCATCAGCCCTCGAACAGTGCAGAGATAATATGAAAAGTTTAATTTGGCTTTTGATGCCCTTTGGTAATAACCTTTGATAACCCATTTCTCAAACTCTGGTCTTATCCCAAGTTCAACATAGAGGGCTATTGAGGTAAATGTCATAAGATGTTAGAAGCGTAGTTATGGTGACTTTTGACTCTTGAAAGAGGAAACCTTATGTCATTATGGCTCACTGTGTTGAATTGTCCGTCCCTCCAGGTCACGCTGGTCTCCTAAAGAATTGTTCAAATGTGTCAGAGAGGATCTTCAGTTTTCTCCCATCATCAGCGCTATATTCATCAATGACATGTTTGGAATGTTGAATGCATACACTATCCCAAGATATATTGTGATGTTTGGTTATGGGCAAATTCTTTCTTGGTCATGGAAATATTGTGCATGAAGAAAGAGATACACTTTTAGATGTACTCGGACAGTATTTCTCAGGGTGCTCTGGTTTTCTCTATTACCCAAAACATGCCATCCATCCATTTCCATTTTCTACCCTTTAATCCATTTCTGGGTCAGGGGGGTGGCAGTCAGAGATGCCACCCAAGTCTCATAGCACCAGCCCCTCACTGACCCTCTGCAGGTGGTGAGTCCACAGGAGGACGGCTGCTCTCTGAGTGTGAGCATAGCCTTGATCTTTCAGTGGGGGCTTCAGGCAAAGTGGGGTTAAGTGTCTTGCCCAAGGACACAACGACAGCAATCATCAGTGGGAGTCGGTGGAGAAGGTGTAGAGGTGGGAATTGAACCCACGACCTTCAGGCCTGAAGGCCAATGCTCTACCAACTGAGCTACTGTCGCCCCAAAACATGCATTCTTGGTAAACTTTGTCCTGACTAAGCCTGGGATGGGTCCCTGGCAGCCACGTACAGCTGACGTTAGCAGCAGGTGCCATAGAAGCGTTGAAGTCAGGTGCAAATGCAGAAGAAACAAACTTACCTTTGGAGACTATTATGTTTACTTAACCTTAAAACTAATCATTGCAACTTGGCAAACAGGGCACAAGTTTTGCAGCCGAGCCGATGTTGAGAGAATGTTTGAGTTCTACAGCACCGTGACCCTAAGATACGTTCCCCTTTGGGGACGACATAGTTGAGCCTTGATCTTACATGTAAGATAGCCAGCAGCCTGATAGTGTAACTAAAACATACATATTACATAACTTACATATACAATATTCTGTGCTGGAATACAATTCACAATGAAATAAATACAACTTTTTTTAACACATATTTTGTAATAAAGATAGCTGGAATGCATATGTTAGATATGAACTATGAGGATATCAGCTCACTCCTTCCTGCACACAAGCCCCCGGTCAGTCCATGTGATGGGACCCAGCTGCACCGAACCAGGCTACGTCTTTGATGTTAACCCATCCATGAGGGCATTCTGGACCATTCTATGGGTGCATTGTCATGCTTGACCTTTGAGGAGACTTCAGCAGGAATATAGCTCCAAGCAACAGTTGTACAAAGATTACTTTCCAGATATACAGCATATCTGAGAAATTGCAGCACAGTTTCTCCACTTCTTCTGCATTCAGTCTGTATGTAGTCTATATTCCAATGTTTTATGATCATCATCCTTACTGTTATTATTATTATCATATTTTAATTGAAACACATTTTAACTGGAACACTCCAACAGGTCTGTAATATTTTTGTTAACATAAAATAAGTACATGGACATGACAATGTTAAAACAAACGCTGTATCTAAAAAAGGTCAAGCTTACAGTACATATTTCTCTTGATTCTCAACGTCGACATACTGTACACGACACCAACGTGCACCTTGCCTTTTCATCATATAGGAAGGTTGCCCAAAACCAAATACTACAAAACTTTATATTGGGATTCAAACAAGTTTAATTTCTACATAATAAATCTGCTCATGAAGATTTCTGTTTTGCTGTGATTTCCACTGTTCAATGCATCATCAAATTGAACCACTGTTGATTCTGGAAGAGTCCTTTTGTGAAGCCACTGCTCTTGCACCTGAATTGTTTGGATGTTATTAAAATGTACCTCTCTTGTTTGCCGATGTTCTTTGTCAATTCATCCACACAACACATATTATGTCGCAGGTGCATTTCTTGCTTCCATTTCAAAGGCAAACACACAATATATTTTTCTCTTCCACTGATGATGAAGTTTTGATCTGAATTCCCAGAGACATAATTTTGACTGCACCCATTAAAACAAAAGGAATTGTGAGAAATTGCCCCATGTTTTGCCCCCACTTTTATTGCATGTGTTGATTTAAAAGTTTTTACCTTTACCTTCACTCACTTGAAATAAAATACAGCAAAAACTTGTTGAAAGGCTACCAAATACATACTGCCAATTGTGTGTTGCTATGGTAACCAGCACTCACTCTTGTCTGGTGGAAAAAACTAGTGGTATCAGACAAATCTATGACCAGACCCAGTTCAGGACCAGTCCAGAACCAGCTTCTTGAAAAAAATGGGGCTTCAAGTGCCAAGAAATAAATAAAAAAATGCCTACAATTAATTACATAGAAGTAAACTACATATAGAAACAGAAAAGTCACAAAGTTAAGTGGATCAAAAAGGTACATAAGCCGAGTAATTACAGTTCTAAAACTAAAATCTGTTGGAGGGAGAAATAGGCCACTGAGACAGCTACATTGATCAACCGCAAAAAGTAAAATATTGTAAGCTATTTGTTTTTTCTCTTGTAAACACGCTCTATCATGGTTCAAACACACACCAGAGCACTTTACATTGCATTGGCATTTGGTTGCGGCGCTCCCCTCCTCTTCCATCGCTCGCAGCTAGCAATTTCAGTGAAGCTGGGATGGCATTTTGCACAAACATGTGGCGTGGTGGTCAGTATGCGGCTCTGGAGATGCATGTGGATATATGGGTTCAGGCTGAGTTACTGCAGTGGGATGTGGATGTGACAGCTGAAACTAACACCTGAAGACTTATCAGCGGAGACTGGGAGGACTGAGCTGTCACTGCGCTTTGTGCTCAGGGGGACTTGTTTAGTCGTGACACATCCACCCCAGCCACTGCAGAGAAAAGGGACTGGATGAGAGTGATTAAGGCATTGAAAATAAGCAATTTCTCCACATGCCTTGTTCAAGTTTGCAGATATACATGGATTTTAAGGGCATAATCTCTCAAATGTATGCTATTTGTGAGTGAATATGTGTCTCATTGCTTATAGAACAGAAATGGAAGCATGGAAATTGGTTATACATGTTTAACCTTTTACATAATAGTACGTAGTTAACACCATATAGACTTTTTATAATAAATTGAAGGCCAGATCCTGCTTTCACCCCGTTTCATTATGGATGCAAAACTCTGAGGTTTTGGAAAGTCCTCCGAGATAACTACTTTTAAATTGAATTGAATGGAGTTACTGCATGGGAGCTTTATACACATATCTGGGAGTGTCCAGGGGTTACTTGGGTTTGGGAGATGGTGACCATGCCGTTCTCATCCCAGGTCCTTCTGAATGACTTCTCTCAGACTTAACAGGGCGCTACAAAGGGTACACTGATAGAAACGCCTCACCTCTCCTGGACCTTTATGGGTGTAAGACTTCTTTTTACATCGACTGTTTTCATTTATTTTTCAGAAGAAAAAAAGATTAATCTAATGGAGATTTCTCCGGATGCACAGCCAAAAATGCTGTTATTAATAATTTAGTTTTTATTCATTCCTAATTTAAATTACAGAACACTAATGTATTACTACTGGCAACTTTCATTAGTGGAAAAGTTGCATCTCTCTCTTAAGATTATTGAAATTGTGTGTCTTGCTATAGTATGAATGCGTTATTGTGATGATACACGCACTCACTGGCACAGGCTTCTGGATTTTAAAGAAACATTTATAGACCGTTTGACCTTAAACTAATGGGAATGTTTTGAGCGAATATGCCGTCACTGACATAACTTTGAAGATTTGAAAAGACCCTCTGTTCAGATCCTCTGAGGTTGAAGATGTTGAGGAAGCCATTATGTTGAATACACTTTTTAATGAGTGCACACAGACTATTATTGCATAAGACTGAACGAGTCTCTGAACAAAACTCAAATGAAGCATCAGAAATATAGCAAACTTTAATTAGATGAAACAACAGAAGAATTAACATTTCTTTCAGATTAGGACACCGCTTTTTGAAATTCGACTGAAATCAAAGATAATTGGCTGTATCATGCACTTCGTCTTGTCATAATAAAACTAAAAACTTCTTTTATTTTCAAAGAATAGGAATAAACACACAGGAGAGCACATTTAGCTACTGACTATTTAATTTGAGGAGAAACCAAGAAAATCATATGGAGCATTTCAAATGAAACACTTTTGTTGTCAAATAAAAAGACACATAAAACCACAGTAATGATGATATCTATAAAACCTGGTGACTTTGCATGCTGAGCAGCTCCTAAAACAAATGTTCACAACATTACAATCCACTGGTGTGTGGAGGGGCGGACGTTAATGAGGCTCGCTCCATCAAAGGTGTTTTCAATGTCATTATGTTCTTTTTCCACAGGAACCGTAATAAAATTAATCATAAATTAATCTCAACCTTTTTGGTGCTGGCCCCATTGGGTTATATCAGACACTAGCACAGTCATCACAGTGATACTGTAAACATTTAGGTGCATTCAAAACCTCTCTCTATGAAGTGGGTTTCAAATATGAACTTAAAGTGAGAAAAAATGTAAAAGTGGAAATGCGTGGAGGGTCATCAGACATAATAATGTAGTAACATTGATGTGTGGGACTGTACAATGGGACTGTTCATACGACACTGCAGGTGTCCAACCACATCCTCTGACTTCAGGGATGTCTCACTCTTTGTCATTTCCTCCAAAGGGAAGAAGCACCAAAACTTATACCAAAAATATCCAAGTGTACAGCAGGTAGACAGGTCCAAACGGATCATACATCATTGTCTTACAGATTAACAAAAATCTTTACAAAATATGACCGTACTTAGTCATGTAATATACACAGGAGATAATAAAAAGGATTTTGTTCTTTTTTTTCTGTACAAATGACAAACATCACAAAACAACAACATCAATATATTTACTTATTTTCAGACACATGACGGTGAGCACCTGACACGACGTGTGTTTAAACCAAGAGTGTGCCATTTTGTACTGTCTGGAGGGACGGCCAGCAAACAGAGTAAGGCTCATTTCTAATCAAATATTTTGCATCTGGAGTTGATCACTTGTTCACAATTATCTGCATTTACCTAAAGCATCTTTGAATGTCCGAAAAGCGCTGCATAAAACCAATGCATTATTATTATTACTTATACATGAAATCACTTGAACATGTGTTCTTAACTCAGCAGGTCACATGGCACTGGCCTGAACTCTGGCTTGCACACTACAGTATACCATTCCTTGCACATTTCAGGTTGGAAAACGAGTGCATTGACTTGTTTTTTTTTACTATGTACAAAATAAATGTTCTCCAATGTAAACACATCACAGCGATCACTCGTCCATCCAATCAAACGTCTCAATATTTTATAAAGCTTTCACACAAACCGACCTTCCAGCCAATACAATCGTGTGCAACCCATTGTCAGGCTATCGCACTCGCTCATACAAAATGTACAAAACATGTTGGTCTAACTACAAGACAGGGAACTGCTAACATGGCATACCTTTCAAGTAATTTCTTGTATCATAGACTGTATATAGACCGACAATGTTAGATCAATAAAGCCCAATAGGGAAGTGCTCACTCTGGATCTTATTGACTTATTCTCTAGCTCTGTAACTGTTTGTGTCAGAAAAACAATTTTGGGCTTAAAGAAAAAATCGGGTTTAGCGCTTTCTCTGACCCTGGTGTTTGTATTTTGATATTGTCTTCGTGAATCCAGACGTGAACCAAAAGGATTGACCAAGCAAGCATTGACCAAGATTGAGCAATGCCTTCGGTTGCAGGGGACACTCCAGCTTGCCTTAGAAACCATGTTTGTGACACATTAGTTTGCATCTGCCCCATAGACTGTATATATTAAAGGACGTAGTCACGCCTATCTCCGCCGTTCTAAATAATGGGCCAAAAAATTTCACTCCCCTCAGCGTTGACACACATGTGGAACGGAGCTTAGGACTTTTGGACCATCCTGTAAAGGTGTTTTTGAGAGGCAAGAAGATGCTATATGTTAGCATTGGCTAATTTGGGTCCACCCCCATCGGCCCGGGGTGGTTTGCAAGCATGTCAGCGCACGTCATTTTGGCCACTTTTGAGCCGGGACCCGCCCCCACTGATCTTCCCCTGTTACAGCCTGAAGCTAAACCTGTCGAAACAAATGCCCATATAAGGAAATTGGCTCCAACTGGCTAATGTTTAAATCTGCACTAGATGATGCTAGCATTCTGTTGACTTCTGATATACAGTCTATGGTTTATACATAACAAAAAAACATTTGAAAGGATGCCCATGTTTGTAGTTCCCAGTTGAACGGATTCTAGTGTGTGAGTGTATTTTCCATCGGAGCCACGTCAAGCCGCGTCTTGTGTCATTGGGTCTGGAAGTGCTGCGGAGACGCGAACGTGACCCGGTGCTGCCCCCTTAGTCATGTGACCTCAGTCATGGATGCCGAGTGGTTCTGCAGAGGGAGACGGAACGGAAAGTGCAAAAGGGAAAAGATGGAAGGTAAAGGAAAAAGGGGTGAAATCAAAGTCAGTGTTAGCAGACCACGTGCCATTTTAGAAAAGAGGTGTCCTGTTTAGTGTCATCTCTGTCACCAAAACAAAATTATATGTAATTGAAATGACAACAACAAAAACACGGTGGAGGAAAATAAGAGTGCAGATGTGTAATTAGAGAAGGAGGAAGACAGAAAACGAAAACAATGGCGTGCAAAGTATGTGCGAGAAATGGCAAAGACGAAAGAGACAGAGAAAAGAAAAACACAAACATATGTATTAACTTTTTGTTGTGATTATAACAAAGCATCAAATAACTCATAATAACTAGCTACAATACTTTGGTAATTTACATGAGACAATGCATAGTTTTGATATGTTCCAGAATGTATGTGTATAAAGAAATTACATTTTAGCCTTTTTATCTAACTAGTTCATTGCATGCATGTATTCTGGCCTCTGTCACATCTTTAGATAAGCTTTTTCAGACTGAGAAGTGAAAAAGAGAGGACCACCCTCACTCAGCCAATCAGCTCTCAGCCCAATGTGTCCAATAGTGACTCCAGGGCTCTTTCTTTCCATGTATTTTTCTCATGTAAAAAAAAACAACACCAGGTTGTGGTCTGATTTTTCCACAATAGTTTAATTTAATAAGGCTACATAATAATATATATAATAAGTATATATGATTTCCGAAACTTTAAAAATAGGCACCCCAGGTTTGTATTGAAAATGGGGCCATGTACTATCACACAAACACACAATAACAAAAGCGTGGTGAGATGCCTGTGTCTCACCTGGGCACTGAGGGTCTCCAGGGGGCTCTCCACTCGGGGGAACGTCATGAGGGGCAGACCGCGGTACTCCTCCGGCTTCTGTTTTCCCGCGGCTTCGTGGACTCCTTTGAAGTTGTTCACCACGCACACGCCCTGGGACAGACAGCGGCTCAATGGTAAAGTAACGGCGGGCCACCACCAAACTTCACCAACGCACATAATACGTAATTCAAGTGTATTTCAACAAAGCCTTTTAGAGACCTGGATCACAAAGTACTTCACATTTAAAAACATACAGGTAAAAATAATACACATACAAGTCAGATTTAAAAACAAAGTTCACAGAGACTGGGGAAGCTCAATCCAAAGGTGAAGAGCAACTGCCTGGAAGGATCTGTCTCTGTCTGTTTTTTAAAACCAGTGTGGGCCCTAACCAGCCCTAAATGTCAGCATTATAATGTTAAAATGGATTCTATGTGAGACAGGGACCCAGTGTAAGGACTTCAAGATTGGATTGTCTGCGGGTCAAAAGCCTCAATTGCAGCAGAATTTTGAACGAATTAGAAACAAGCCAGATCTCTTTTGCTAAGACATACAGTATAAGCAGGCTGTTACACAAGGCCAATCACGAGGAAATAACGCATGGACAATCATCTCCAGCTCCTGACCTGAGACCATATACCTGTCATTATCAAGTGGAATTTACAGTTTTTGATCAGCTGTTTGGTATGTTATTGTAGGGACATCCTTTCATCAAAAGTTACTTCAAGGTTCCTCGCTCAGACTAATTTTTATGGAGCTGCTTAGGTCACTACACAGCTAGTTTCCAGCTGCAGTAGGCAAGGTGCAAAATGCCAAGAAACACACTAAAAACGTTACAATATAAAATACACATACGTGGTTAGACTTCTTTCTGAGTCTTAGATAAGGCAAAACAACTGAGCAACATGGTTTGAGACATCCATATATGTACAGTGCTATACACATAGAGCAGATATTTCTTGTAAGAAGAGCAATCCAACATGTGGAATCAGATTATTATCTTATAAACAACACTTCCAATGTCATGAGGGCAGTTGTTTGTGCTCTTCTTTCCTCCTGTGTCTCCTCTTCCTTTCCCTTTATGTGTCTTTTTTTTGGACTTTTTTAAATGCCTTTTTGTATTTCCTCAGGTGGCGGACCAGTTTTCCCATTGTTTTTCCTGAAGCTTCTTTGGACTTTGTTACAATCATTTTTGTTTCTCCAGTGTTTTTGTTAATTAAATGAATTATCTCATTTAATTCAAATCAAAATATCATTTGGTTATCAGACATGATATAACTGCATTGTTCAGTGTCTTGCTTTCCATAGCACAAATATCTACATCATTTCTCTGCTGCAGTTGGTGGAGCATTCACATCTGACCAAATGAATAAAGTATCGACGTAATGGAGGATGTTGTGTTGTGGGCATACGCGTTCACAATGAGTTCACATCCTATTGGATCAAACAAGTGCTGCTGACAAGATTGCACCGTGAAGGAAGTACCGGTGCTGATCATTTGCCTTTAATCTGATGTCTCTGGAGGATCTTGGAACCCACTCATTGTTGAAGAACTTTGTGTAAGTACCAAAAAAGCTTCTAACTCAAACTGATCTGAAATGAAAGCCCAACCAATGTATTTCTATATGATTAATTACCTTTGCTCGTTTTGGAATCTTGATCTTTAGATACAAGTTGTAGACATTGGACTATCGGATCCGAGTAGACCGATCTGCCACACTGTTCATGTTCAAAGTGCATTTAAATTGGACTCGGCCATTTATCAGCTCTAATAGGCTCTCTCTCAGTGGGAACAGTGACCAAACTTTGACCCGGGTTTCAGAAGCTCTGGGCGTTGTTGACATCCCCTCCTGTGTGGCCCCGTTTCCCTCATTAGTCTGTTGTACATCAGTTAGAAATTCACTGTGATGTGTTTAACATTAGAGCCAGCACCCGCCAGGCTGCCTGGTCTGGACTGGATAATCAAAGACGGCAGCTGTGGGGAGCACCTTACCCCCGGCCGGTTCTGCCCTGAGGCGGAGCACACAGAACTGAACCAGCGCCAAATCTGCAGCATCCAGAGCGAGCAGGCTTACGTCTGAGGTTGTCTGAGGTTGTCTGAGCAAAAGGAAATGGGCCACTCAAAATGGCTCAATTATTTTTGTGGTCACTTGTTGCCCTAGATTTCTACACTTGTTGTGGCAGAAACGTCTACCTTAAAGACATTTCCTTTATGTATGGCTTCAGAAACAGCATTTTTGTCCATACAGGGCAGTACAGAAATTATGTTGTTAAAATATATTTTTTGCTCCGGCAAGAGCCAAGCTGAGGACACATTCAATAGTCCTTGCTGACAAAAATCCGTACAAACACAAATGCATTATTTCTGCCAGCTCCTATCAAATGAACCAAATAACTTGAGAGGTGGCTTCAAGAATAAAACAAATCTTTGCTTTAGAATGAGGAGTAAGACATAGCAACGTAGGGTTCTGTTGTAAAGCTACATTTGTCTCGTGTAAAAGGAGCTAGTACAACATCCTGATATGGGATTTATTTTAACACAATGTGTCGTTTAATTCTGAAACTCATTAACCCTCTATGCACATGGTTCATTTTGGGGAACTTTCCTCGCCTGGTTTTCTTTGTGTATAATTGTTCATAAAACAGTCATCTTTTGATGCAGAGTCAAGCAGTATACTTTGTTTTTTTCAGTACAACCTGGGGTTTTAGAATATTCATATTGTAAAGCTGTCATATGAATTATATAAAAATTATGGAATCATGAAGACAAAGAAAAAAATCAAACGGAAAATCAATTTAACAAAAATGTATTGAAAAAACACAATGAAATGCTATAAACAACTTTTTACACTGCATAGAAATGTTATTTATGGTCTTGGGGATAATGGGGAAAAAAATTGAATCTCTAACTATTATACTTTTTACAAAATTCCACTATAAAAGCAAAAAACTCTGTACTCCTGATGCCCTTCCTGAAGCAGTTTGTCTATAATGCTGGGGTTGCTTCTGTAGCACAGCTGTAAAAAACATAAGAAACTGAGACAACAACAAAAAAACATCAATTATTTATATAATACATATATTTATATACATCATATACACATAATGTCATTTTACTGTATTTATTATCGTCTTTATCAATAATGCGCACTATTCAGCCGGTTATTGCAATCGCAGCTGTAGTTTCAACTGTGGGAGAACAAGTACAGACAGAGGAGTGAGACATCTCACTCTCTGACGATCTTTGGCAGTCCCCATGTGTTTGTATCTCACAGCTGTTTGTACCTCACGGGTCACGCTTTGGACACGGACTTTCAGACAAACGTAGTTTATCCTCCGTGCATCGCACAGACAAATCAAAACTAGTTTCGGAAAGCCCTGAATACGTACTTCACAGAGGAAAAAAAGTAAGTTGCTACGTTTTACCGTTCGCGAGTAAATTGATCATTTGTAAAACATGTGCACGTGCATCGGGCATATAGGGTTAATCACGTCACACCTGCCACAACATATGGCTATCACTCACGGTGGCGTTTTGATAATCGGTTAGCTGGCTATTTTTTCAATCAATCAATCAATCAATTTGCTGTTCAGATCATGAAAGGCCATTGAGTCATGTTTAATATTATTAAACCAAAACAAAGCCAAAGTGATGCCACTTCAGAAAAAATACACTTTTTAGTCACATTTGTATTTAATTCTGAAATAATTCCAGCTTCATTTGAGCCATAAAACCCCTTCAAGCACGTAAATGGTTTGCAAATATTTAAAACAAATCTATTACCTATCTATGACCCATCCTGCTCCACCCAGAGGCTACTCCACCTCTGCTGCCGTGACCCGTCCTGCTCCACCCAGAGGCTACTCCATCTGTGCTGCTGTGACCGGTCCTGCTCCACCCAGAGGCTACTCCACCTCTGCTGCTGTGACCCGTCCTGCTCCACCCAGAGGCTACTCCATCTGTGCTGCTGTGACCCGTCCTGCTCCACCCAGAGGCTACTCCACCTCTGCTGCTGTGACCCGTCCTGCTCCACCCAGAGGCTACTCCATCTGTGCTGCCGTGACCCGTCCTGCTCCACCCAGAGGCTACTCCATCTGTGCTGCTGTGACCCGTCCTGCTCCACCAGAGGCTACTCCATCTGTGCTGCTGTGACCCGTCCTGCTCCACCAGAGGCTACTCCATCTGTGCTGCTGTGACCCGTCCTGCTCCACCCACAAGCTACTCCACCTATGCTGTTATTACCTAAAGGGCTGTTGCTGATTATTACTATTATTATGTTTTTAGAATGATACATTTTATTTATTTATATATTTTTTGCTGCTCCTGGACACCTGAATTTCTCCTACAGGGATCAATAAAGTATCTATCTATCTGTTAGTTGGGAATTATCAATGAACTTGTTACAGTTAGTGTTGTGCTGAAAACTTTCTTTCATTCCTCTTTCAACTAGTAGGCTTCTAATATAATATTTTTTTCTGAACTAATGTGGTATGAATTGTGTTTTCATCTTCATCCAAAGGCCAGAAAGTTTTGTTTTAGTAGAGGACGCTTGTACCAGCACCATCTATCGTAGTTTCAACCCTATTTTTCTTGCCTTCCCTGACAGTTCATCCAGAGTCCACTCAGCTTTCTCTTTTTTTTTTCTGTCCTTTACACCCTGGCTACGCTTCCAGCTCAGATGTTGGATTAGACCTACACCATTCTTAAATCTCCAAAAGCTCCTAACAATGATCCCTCTATCTCCGGGAAAGATCTTGTGGGGGAATCACCGGCAGTTCATATTGGCACATCAGCGAGTCCCATTCTATCTTGGACAGCTAAGACAGGATCCATGCCATATTTTATCTGGAGCTTCTTTGCACCAATTAAGCACCCCCCGACAGCAGTCCATCACTCGTCCACAGCATTCCTATGACAAGCCTTTAATAAGCTCGATTGGTAACATAAGGTCATTGAGTGAGTTATATACGCGGCCGGGTTCGCTTCATGGTTTGCTGGTAATACGCGAAAGATGGGAAGGTTCAAAAGTGCTGAGGTGATGATTGACTTTCGGATGTCCATCTTTCCCCGGAGATCACTCACTCAGCCCATGTCAATTTTTATGGCCCAA